ATCTGAACTGCCCACCTACTGGTTAGCAGCCAGACTCTTAACCGCTGCACCACTAGAGCTCTGCAGGGCATTAGAAGGTTCAAAAAGTAAGCTAGCACAGAGTTTCAGCCTCGTAGGTATATTGCTACATGTAAGCTGGGAGGACTTGAAGCACTTATTGATGAAGATCAAAGACCACAGCCTTCAGTATGGATTGCACTTCAACATAAAGAAAAACATTCTCACAACTGGACCAATAAGCAACACCATGATACAGGCAGAATAGATTACAGATGTCAGGGATTTCATTTTACCTGGATCCACAATCAACATCCACAGAAGCAGCAGTCAAGAAATCAGAGGATGCATTGCCTTGGGCAAATGTGCTGCAAGAGATCTCTTTGAAATGTTAATAAGTAAAGATGTCACTCTGAGGACTAAGGTGGGCCTGACCCAAGCCATGGTGTTTTCAATCCCCTCATATGCATGTGAAAGCTGGACAATGAATAACGAAGACCGAAGAAGAATCGATGCCTTAGAATTATGGTGCTGGCGAAGAATATCGAATATACCATGGACTGCCGGCAGAACGAACAAATCTGTCTTGGGAGAAGGACAAGCAGAGTGCTCATTAGAAGCCAGGATGACAAGACTTTGATTCACGTACTTTGGACGTGTTATCGGGAGGGATCAGTCCCTGGAGAAGACATTATGCTCGGTAAGGTAGAGGGTCAGCAAAAGAGAGGAAGACCCTCAGTGAGGTGGACTGACACAGTGGCTGCAACAATGGGCTCAAACATAGCAACGATTGTGAGGATGGCGCAGGACTGGGCAGTGTTTCGTTCTGTTGTACACGGGGTCGCTGTGAGTCGGAACTCACTCAATGGCCCCTAACAACAAAGCTGGGCTTACAAAAAATGTATTTGTTGTTTGAACTAACTATATGGATATTTTTATAAAAAATAATAAATTTCTGCTGAAACTGCACAAAAATTTTATCGAGTCATTTTGGTGTCACCCCCTCCGACAGTGCCAGCCGATGCCATCCGGACCCCGCACCCCACTAGTGACACCACTACATTCTGCTGTGTATATTCTCAACAACAACAACAAAATAAATTTAAGCAAAAAAAGAAAGCCCTATGGAGCACGATTCTACCCTGACACACATGGGGTTGCCATGAGCCAGAAGTCACTCGGCAGCAACTGCCCCTTTATGCCTCAGTTTCCCTTTCAGAAAATGTGGGCGAGGAGAGGTCTGAGGTGGGTGGGAAAGGCCTGACTTCTGGCAGCAAAAGCTCTCAGCTGCTTTTGGTGACACCTGCTGGACACAGGAGGAATGACACTCACAGGCCCTGTTCTTTCTTCCTCCACAATGGCAGCGGCGCCTGGGGCGTCCTCCCCAGCACCCCTAGATCCTGAATCCGACTTCCCCACCTCTGCTCCACCTGGTCCTGCCCCACTATGGCCCACTTGGCCCAGTGCAGTCGCTTCCGCCCTCGTACCCCGCTCCCGCCCACGCCCCCACTGTGTGTTCCCTCCGCAGCCGCCAGAGGGCATCCGTGAGCGCCTGAGTCAGGCCGGGCCTTCCTCTGCTTAGAGCCCTCCAGGGCCCCTACCTCCCTCCGGTCAAAGCCCGAGTCCTCCCCGCGGCCCACGCGCACGCTGTACCTCATCCACTGCCCCCTCATTCACTCCATTGCAGCCACACTGACCTCTTTGCTGATCGTTGAACGGGCTCCCACCCCAGGGCCTTTGCACATGCTGTTCCCGCTGCCTGGGACGCTCTTCCCTAGGGTACCAGGATGGCTCATTTCCTGCCGGTGGGCCGCCTTCTCAGAAAGGCCTTCCCTAAACAGCCCATTAAAAATGTGACTGCCCCCCTCGTCTTTGTGTGCCAACAAGAAAGTTGTGGTGACGAACTTTCTCCCAGGCCGCGGGGGCTGTATCCCAGTGCCCAGCACGGCGCTGGTGCCCAGTGGGCCCTCGAAGTGAGTCTGACTGATGAACTCAAGGAGAGTGGGAGATTTCGCTGGTTCCGACACCCTGCGACTTACCGGAATGGAGGCCCGGATGGTGCCCTTCCCAAGGGCATCTGGGACATTGACTGGTGCGTTGGGCCCCAGATCTGGGATCCCCCATGTGTGTCCCCTCTTCTCCAAACAAGGTGTGCAGTGCCGGCCCCCCGCCCAGAGCTCCCGCGAGCACAGACCCAAGCCTGCGGGGGCCAGGGGTCGGCTGCCCCCCAGGGACCAGGCAACACCCTCAAGGGCCTTCAAGGCCTTCCCCAGGAGCCAGGCCTCTGGACACCCGTCCCCAACCACCAGCCAGGTACAGGAAATAAGGCCAGAAGGGGCCACAGCATTTAGGAACAAAATTTATTCCAATTTAAAACAGAGCGTTCATTTCAGGAGAAAGGTATGAAAAGTCGATTTCCACCAGCATTTCTGGATTAGGGGGTCAGGGCCCCAACACCTTGAACAAAATCCCTGCCGCCCCACCCACGTGGGCGGCCGCCGGTCGCGGGGGGCCGGGGTTGGCACCGAGCGGGCCCACGCCGACTCCTCCCCTCCAGTCCCAACAGGCACAATACATGCATTTCAAACGACGAAAGGTTTAAAAACGGCGCTGTATAGAATCTTCTCTTTTAAATAGGTTCCGGTTCAGGCTGTCTTAGGGCAGGGCCGTGTAATGTACAAGCGTGACCGGAGGGCCTCCGCTCCGCTGGCACTTTGAGTCTCGAGCGTGACCCCGGGACGAGGTGGGGGGCGTTGGCACAATGACACTTCTGGGGGGGGGTGAGGGGTGGACGGGGCGCCAGGCTGGACTTCGGTTGGCAACGGTGCCGCCCTGATTTCAGGCAGGTGAAGGCAGGCGGCGCTCGTGAGAAAGTAGTTACAGAAATCAAATTCATCCAAAAGACTGTAAAACCTCAGACACCGGGGGGCGCGAGGGCCTGGGTGGCCACACTGCCGGAAGCCGCGGTCCGACAGGTGGCCCAGGTGGGGGCCGGGAGGGCCCTGAGGCAGGATGCCCCTTTCTGGCCCCCAACTGGCGTGGGAACTGCTGTCTTGGGTTCTCCGGGTCCAAGTGGAGGGGTCACCAGCCCTGCCTCCATTCTTGGGGTGCGGCGCCGGCAAACTGGGTGTCTGCGCAGCCTGGGGATCTGGCAGTCCCCTCCTGTCCTGGGCCCCGCCGCTCAGCTCTGGAATGCTTGGCTCTCTGCACCCCCCAGGAAGGGTCAAAACTGTCACATGCTTTGGCTGTGCCCCCCCCCCCCCGTTTTGAGTAACTCAACTCTCACACCACCCCCTGGGGAGCCCCAACCGGAAGGGGGCCCCAGGCGGTGGGACGCACCCTATTTCTTTTTTGGGAGACACTAAGACATGGAGGTGCCGGCTCCAGGGGACCCAGAGCCCCCTGGGGGGTCCACTACCAGTGACGGACAGACGCGTGGGGCGGCGCCGGGCCTGAAGGGGGCCCTGCGTACGTTTTCCGGGACGAACCCTCCTAAGTAGACACATGGCACCAGAAGGGGGCCTTTGGGTAGAAAGTGAAACTGGTGTGAGGAAGGGGTCTCCCCAGCCCTCTCCTGCCCCTCAACAGGGCTGATCCCCGGCAACGTCGCTGCCCCCCAACTCTGACTCGTGTCCCCACCCCCCATGCCCTAGGCCTCCTCTGGTCTCTGCCCGTAAGAGAAGCAAGAGGCGGGGGGCCTGGGGCAGAAGTCTGCTGTTTGGCTGGTCTGACTCTCAAGGGGTTGTTTTCATTTGGGGGGGTGGCCAGAGAGCAGCGGCTGCATGAACCGCTGGGGGGAGGGGGGCAAAGCGCCACGTCCCAAAGGGGTCAAAGGCATCGCTGGCAGTTCGTTATTCCCGTGACAGTTGTACCAAACGAAAACCAGAAAACAAGCGGAACGCGCAGGGAACACGGGAGCGCTCAGTCTGGGGCAGATGAAAAGGCCGCCCCACTGTGCCCCCTAAAAACAAAAGCCCCCCCGCTCGGGCACCTGCCTTCACAGTCACTTTGGGAGAACTGCGTGTGGGGGGGCTCCGCAGGAACCCCGAGGGCTGCCGGGTCTGGCTCAGTTCTGGCTGTGGCCGGGGGAGCCGCCCGGGGGGCCAGGCGCCAGCTGCCGCTTCTGCGAGCCCCTCACGGCCGGCCACGCTGGGCAAAGTGCCCGTGCGGGGTTACCCGGCGGGGCGGCCGGGGCGGGGTGAGCAGAAAAGCTTCAGCTGGAGGCCGCGCCCAGGGCGCCAAGGAGGCGTCTCCCTCGCTGGGCTGGCTCTCTCTGCCTCTCGGGGACAGACCTGAGAATATTCTGAGAAGTCCCCACCCCACCCTCACTCTTCCCACAAGGGTGAAAGAAAACAAAAGGAAAACACAGCAGGACTCCTGCGGCCCCCACTGGAGTCGGGTGGGGCCCCGACGTTCGCCTCCCAGCCGCCCTTCCCTCTGTTCCCGCTCCCCAGGCCCGCGCAGGCCCACAATCCGAGGCGCTCCAAACTTGCCGCGTTTTGGCGCTGGAAACGCCACCCAGAGAGACCCCAAGCCCCAAGGCTCGGTGCGCGGGGCCGGGCGGCATCTCCCCAGGGGCCGCAAGGGAGGCCGAGGGCGCCTCTCCGACCTGCGAAGCCAAGGGTCCCGGCTAGTTTTTCCTCCAAAAAAAAAAAGGTGAGGCACTTCCCGGGGGGGGGGGGGGCGACAGGGGGCGCTGCCCACCCCCCTCTTCTCGGAGTCCAGGGAGCAAACAGAGCGTCCGCCGCCGTGGAGATGCACAGGGCTCAATAACTTAAACGACAGAAGGAGCAGGCAGTCTCCGGGCCTCCATACCTTCCCCAATCACGAGGGAAAACCCCGAGGGGGCAGAGAGAGACGCGGCGATGGGGTGGGCCGAGGGGGCGGGGGGGGACCCCGGTGGCCGGCCTCCCCCACCGAGCCCCCAACATTTGGCTGGAAGGGTGGCCGGGCCGGGGTGAGGTCTGGGGTCACCAGGGAGAACGGGGTGCCCGTGTGTGGCCAGTTCTTGGGTTTCGTTTTTTTTTTTAAAAAAACAAAACAAAAAACGGAGCTTCACGGTCAAGGCCAGGAAGAGGCCGCCCGGCCGACGCGGGTGAGGAGGTGCGGAAGTGTGTAGTGTGTAGAAAGAAAGATGTCCGTCCCCTGATAGCTATGAAATAAAAACCATCGGTTAAAAATACGAAGGAAAAATACGGAACGGGCTCCTCCGCGGCCTCGGGACGCGGCTCCGCGCCGGCGAGCTGGCCCCGGCTCGAGGCCCCCGAGCGCCGGGGCATCAGACCAGGTTGTACTCCTTGAGGTTGAGCTGCAGGATGGTGTCCTTGACGGCCGCGAACACGAAGCGGATGTTCTCCGTGTCGGTGGCGCAGGTGAAGTGCGAGTAGATGATCTTGTCGCTGTCGGGGTTCAGGTCCACGAACATCTTGAGGATGAACTCCCGAGCAGCCTGGGCGTCCCGCTGGGGCCCTGGGGGCAGGGGAGGGGTCAGGCCGGGCCCTCGGGGGGCTCCGAGACGCCGCCGCACAGCCGGTCCTGACCAACACCCACCCGCCCACCTGGTCCTGCCCACTCGCGCTGCGCGCCCAGGACCCACAGGGGCTGGGTGTCCACCACGCGCCCCCCAGAGCACTCTGCTCATGGTCGAGGCTCCGCTCTTGGCCCCCAGCCCCGGGGGGCTCCATCAGCACCGGGCAGGCTTTGCTCTCCGTCCCACCCGCCACCTCCGGGCGCTCAGCCCTGCTCACACGGGAAGCTCCCAGCCCTCGGCCCCCACTAGCTCCCTGTGCTGGACGTGCTGAGCAGCTGCCCCGACCTCCGAGGCAAAGAGCAAACACTCCGCCTCTGGTCCCGCTGCCCACAGCGGCCCCCTCCCCCCGACTCACTCCCCCCACACCCACCCCTCCCACCCATGTGCACACACGTCCAACGGGACACGTGGGCACACGCACACACACTATGCCTGCATGCACACCCATGCACGTGTGCCCTCACACCGCCCCCAGGCACTGTCACAATCCCCACCTCACGGGGGGACCCGAGGCCCCAGGAGGAGAGGCTCTGGTCCTGGGTCCCCTGGGGACTCTCGGAGGCCCTGATGCTCACCCGCCTGCAGACCCTGACGAGGCCCCTGCTCATGCTCCAGCCTGCCGTGGCCACCGGGCATTGTGTACCCACAATAATGGCCTGCAGGACCCTCCGCTCGGGGCCCTGGCATGTGATGCTCTCCTGCCCACCAGCGCAGACCTCCAGCACAGCCCCGCAGGCCTGCCCAGCCTCACCTGCCCCCAGCCCAAGCTCTGCCGTGTCCTCCGGCAGCTCCTGCTGATCCCGGCCAAGTGGCTATGGGGGCTGTGCAGGAAGATTCAGGGACCACCCAGCACACTGCTTTGCTCCAGTCAGACCTCCAGTCAGTTGGGAGGGGTCGGACGGTGGTCCTGGGGCATCCTTCAGTCTGCCCTGGGACCCCTCAGGCCTGCCCTCCGCTGCCCCCTGGCGGCTGTGGGCAGCAGCGCTCAGAGCCGCTGAGTGGGACCTGGGAGTCCTGAGTACCGGCCCCCGCCACGTGGCCGCCGACCCCCTGAGGCCCCGTGGCCTGGCGCCAAGCATGAGGGAGCCCCCACAGGAAGGCAAGGCTCCCAGAGGTGAAATCCAGCGCAGCCTCGGGGCTTCCCCTCCCTGGAAGCCCGATCCGCCTGACCCCGCGCCCTGAGCAGTGACAATAACGGCACTTAATGACGGCCACTGCGTGTGTCAGGCGCTCTCCTCGGGCCAGGCAGGGCGTCCTTGGAAAAGCCCACTGGGCTCCGGGTGGGGGCGCCCTCCCCTGGGTCCCTGCCCCGAGCACGGCCGCCCCCACCACCCCGCGGACCGACAGGTCATCACTGAGTCGAGGCCCCCCAGCGGGGCTCACCGTCGAACCCCGGGAAGTAGTCGACGAGGTGCGAGTGGAGGATCTTGTCCTCCAGCAAGTCCTTCTTGTTGAGGAAGAGGATCACGGAGGAGTTCTGGAACCAGGGGTAGGTGATAATGGTCCGGAAGAGGGCTTTGCTCTCCTCCATGCGGTTCTGGGGGCAGAAGGGGTGGGGGCCTCACTCACTGCAACCAGCCCCACATGCTGTGCTCCCGGAGGGGCCTGGGACACAACCAGGAGGGTCCCTTTCACCCGGCCCCGGCAGCCTCAGCTCCGTCCCCGAGGACATCGGCCAGTCAGCCCTGCCCCCACGTTCACCACCCACCCTCTGCCCCCACCAGCCTCCCTCAGAGGACGCCCACCTCGTTATCAGACTCCACCAGAACCTGGTCGTACTCGCTCAGGGCCACGAGGAACATGATGGACGTCACGTTCTCGAAGCAGTGGATCCATTTCCGCCGCTCCGACCGCTGCCCGCCGACGTCCACCATCCTGCAGGGGACGCAGGCGCACAGGGGACTCAGCACTCCTGACACTGGCTCTGCAGACAGGACCCGCCTTCTGCAAGCCCAGTGCAGTCAAGAGGTCCCCACTGCTGCGGGCTGAACTGTGTCCCCAAAATCTTACGCTCAAGTCCCAGCCCCTGGTACCTGCGAACATGACCTTGTTTGGAAACGGTCTTTGGAAATGGAATCAGCGAGGTTAACACAAGGTCGCACTGGAGTAAGCTGGGCCCTAACCCTGTGAGTGGCATCACGAAACATGAGAAGAGACAGACGGACAGACAGAGGCTCGGGGGAAGACGGCCATGTGACGATGAGGCAGACTGGAGTGACCCGGCCACAAGGAGCTCCAGCCAAGGAGTGCCTGGGACCACCAGGAGCTGGGAGAGACGAGGAAGAATCCCCCCGAGAGCCTCCAGACGCCCTGGAGCGGGACTGTGCCCTCCAGAGCTGGACCATCGTTTCTGCTCTGTAAACTGCCCAGCGTGACCCAGAGCTCGTGACAACAGAGGCGGCACCATGAATGGCGTGTGAGAGACACAGGAGAACGGACCACTCCCTCTGCCTCAACTCCTGGTAGGAGAACAGACCACTCCCCTGCCCCGTCCCCAGCTCCTCTGCCTCAAGTCCCCAGCCGTGGTTCCTAGGACCCTTCACCCCGCCCCACAGCACCAGGCTGTGGCGGGAAGTCCAGACCATCCCCCTCCACATGCCCCCCCCACCCAGAATGAATGCTGGAGCCCCCCATTTCATCTCCTGAGGCCTAGCCAGGAGCTACCACGCCCCTCAAATGCCCCCCGGCATCTGTCTCTGTGGCCGTCAGGGCCCGGATCACTCTGAGACTGGACCAGAGTCTTTATCAATCTCGGGGTCCCCTGAGTATGCCCAAGGCCTAGGGGATGAGTGCCCCCACCCAGCTATGAGGCCCCCCCGGGTACCTGAAGATAATGTTCTCCAGGTCAAAGGGGTACTCGATGATGCCGGTGGTGGGCACACGGACCCGCAGCACGTCCTGCTGGGTAGGCAGGTAGCCCAAGGTGGCGATGCGGTCCACATCGGTCAGGTAGCTGGAACGCAGGGCGGGGGATGGGGCTGCTCAGGCCGGTGCCTGCCCCCCAGCCACGCTGGCCTCCAAGACTGAGGGGGGCGTGAAACTCAGGGATCACTGGGGGATGGAAGGTGGCAACAGCCAGCTGGGCAGAGAGGGAGGCAGCAGGCCAGAATGTAATGGAATGTGCCAGAAGGGCACAAGGGCCCCCCCCACAGCGGGTACAAGCTCACCCAGCCAGTGCCCAGAAATTTCCCTTCTGCTCAGCAGAGGACCAGGCCCCACTGGGAGCCGGGCAGGGCTGGTGTGGGAGAGGCAGGCAAGGCCAAGGGGCTGGAACGGGAGGGTTTGCAGGTCACGGGTGAAGTGTCAGAGGGGTGAGGGGTTGGGGGACCTCTGGCAAGTTTGGGAGAGCCGCGCCCTGCAGCCGGGCACCGTCTTCACCAGGCAGCCACCTCCTGCCCCCCAGCCCGCGCCAGGCGGGGCCAAACTCACTACTTGGCAGAGTCAGAGAGCTGGTACTCGCGCCTTCGGTCATAGCACTCCTGGATCCCGGGGTCGTTCCACAGCGTCTTGATGGCGTTGACGTACTGGTGCTCGAATGTCGTCACCTTCTCCACATCCACCTCCCGGATCAGGAGGGCGTTGGCCTGCAAGGTGCAGGGAGGGCAGCAGTGAGCCTGGCAAATGGGGCCGCACCCCGTGGAGCGACAGGAACCTCACAGCTGGACCCCATCAGGGTCTCGGCCCAACCAGGCAGCGTCTCTCTGACCAAAGAGCCAGAGTCATGACTCAGGTTTCCCATGAATATTCACCCCGGAGAAGTGAAGGCCAGTGGTAGTAATCATTCCCCAATACGAGTCCCCCACAGTAAAACCTGCCAGTGAAGCAGCCTGTGGAGGAGAAAAGCCATGTGGACAATATGTCAACGAATGAGTCTGACTGTGTGCCAATAAAACTTTATCGACAAAAAACAAGTGGAGGGCCAGATTTGGCCCAGAGTCTGTAGTTTGCTGATCCCTGCTCTAGATGCTGCTAGAGATCTGTGGTCCCAATACGAACCTGCATGCCCAGAAAGTGCCACAGCTGGAACAGACTGTAGAGGGGAGACACACCAACGCCCAGAGGGCAAGATACTCACACAGACCACACACCCAGGACGGCTGGACCCCACCCCAACAACAGGCCCTGTAGGGATCCTGATCATTTGCGAACAAAGGATAAAGGGAAGACTCAAATTGGAGACATATTAGAAATCAGGCTTACTGGCCTTCTTAAGCCTTAAGTAAATGTGTTAATTTAAACATATTTGGACAAAAATGCATCCCATGCCAAGCTCCAGCCAGTTTACCAGTTACTGTCGAGTCAATTCTGACAGCAAGCAGCCCAAGAAAGCAGCTATCAATATCATTCCATTGATGGAAAGAGGAGACAGATGGTCAGAGTGGACCCGTGACTTTCAGGAGCCCCAGGAGCCGCCCTCCCCTGGGCCTCAAAGCCTGGGGCTCTCCTTGTTCATGTCCAAGCCCGCTCATGGCCCAGAGGCAGTTCTCTCACTGAACACCCTGACCTTAGGAGTCCAGCAACCACAGCACCACTTGGGTCGATACTGGGGGCGAGAGCCAGGAACCACACCCTCAGGCCCTGGCAACGCAGCGGCCTGTCGGGAGCTCACCTTGTTCTGCTCGTACTTGTACAGGATCTTCAGGGTCTCCATGGCCCGGATCATGGCCTGCATGGCCGTAAAGATGTTCTGGTAGACGAGCTTGGTGAAGCCCCGCTTGTCCTCCTCCGAGTAGCCGGAGCCATGGATGATCCGCATCTGCTTGATGAACGTGCTCTTCCCACTCTCGCCTGTGCCTGCAAGATGATGGAGGAGGGAAGTGAGGTCAAGGGCAGGGGCCGCAAGGGGCGCCCCTGGACCTGCCCATGTTTGCCAAGAAATCACCATGGCAAACAGTGCCCATCTGCCAGGTGCTGCATTAGTGTGCCCTGGGTGCCACTGTAGTGCATGCTGGGTGCTGCTTTAGTGTGCCCTGCGTGCCACTGTAGTGCACGCTGGGCACCGCTGTAGTGCACGGCGGGTGCTGCTTTAGTGTGCCCTGGGCACCGCTGTAGTGCACACTGGGTGCCGCTTTAGTGTACCCTGGGTGCCACTGTAGTGCACAAGGGCACTGCTGTAGTGCACGCTGGGTGCTCCTTTAGTGTACCCTGGGCGCCACTGTACTGCATGTGGGTGCCACTGTAGTGCATGGCGGGTGCTGCTTTAGTGCGTGCTGAGCAACCCACAGCAGTGCACTGACTCCTGCAGATGGGAAACCAAGCCATGGAGAGGTGGGGTTCCTTGCCCAGGGCTCTTGGCAGGCCAGTGCCAGCGCCTGGTTGTTAGCCGCCTCGCTGGCCCCCTCTGCTCTAGGAACGAAGGCTCTCAGAAAGCAGGGGCTGCTGGTTTGCCGGCCTGGCGCCTGGCCAAGGAGGGCGGGCGTCTGGCGCGTTTGGACGGTCGGCAGCTGCCCACTTTGCAAAGCTCTTTCCCGTGTTTTATCTCCACCATCCTCCCAGGTATGCCTGTTTTACACAGGAGAAACTGAGGCTCAGGGACATAAAGAGTGACATTGGCAAAGCATCTAGCCCAACAGGATAAGACCTGCTTAGTAAGCCCTAAGCTCCCATCCCTCCCAAGCGACCCACCCAGGGGCACAGGGCCAGGAAGTGAGTGACAGAGATGAAGTCCAGTGCAGCTCTTCTCAGTACGAAAACCAGCAATAGTACCACCAACGAGACTACTACCCATAGTAGATCAGCTGACCTTAAGTAAAGCAGATCACCCTCCATAGTGTGATGGGCCTGATACAGTCAGGTGTAGGCCTTAAAGGGAGGTTCCCCCAGGGAGAAGGATTCTGCCTCAAGGCTGTAACATCGACACGCTGTGGGGTTTCCAGCCTGCCACCTGAACTATGAATTTTGGACTTGCCAGCCCCCACAATCACATGAGCCAATTCCTTAAAAATCAATCAATCTCTATAGTTAATCCTGCTCCCTGGGGAAACTTCAGTTCTTGCTCTTAAGGCTTTCAACTGATTGGATCAGGCCCATCCACGTCATAGCGGGTAATCCGCCTTACTTACAGTTAACTGACGTCAATGTTCATCACGTGTTAGTCACACCTTGACAGGAACACCTAGACCAGCGTCTGACCACACAGCTGGGCACCAGGGCTAAGCCAGCCGCGGTGTGATGGATCACCTCTGGCTGGTCTTTCTTGCCAGTCTTGTAAGTGATTGGGTGGGACTGTGTGATAAGGTAACTGTGGCCCACCCAAGGGACTTCTCAGTTTTGCCATCCCACTGGGCTTGAAATAAGCACCACAGAGGCAGGAAAGAGATCTGACCACCACCGAGGAAGAACAGCCAGGAGTCAGCACGTCTTTTGGACCTGGGATCCCTGTGCTGAGAAGCTCCTGGAAGCAGGAGAGCGGGAGAGAGAGAGCTGTAACCCTGCAGACGGGGAGAGGTGGTGGCAGGAGAGACCCGGCAGCAGGAGATGGCGCTGTGGGCTTCCCGGCCCATGGAGAGAGAAAGCTGAGTGCCTCTGGGCAGAGGCCAAGTGCCAGGGAGAGGCGTGGCTGGGAAGAGGCTGTCCTGATGGAAGAACTGTATCCTGAGTGTTTCTGAGTGTGAACTGTAACCTGTTACTTCCCTAACAAACCCCATGATCGTGAGTATGGTCTGTGAGTTCCGTGTGGCCACTGCAATGAATTATGGAACCCAGCAGGGAAGCAGAGAGCACCGTGAGAGGGACGGTTGGTGTCAGAGTTGGTAAAGATAGCAGAGAGAGGAGGCACGTCTGACCCCCGCCTCACAGCTATCAGCCTGGGGCTGTTGATCTTGGTTCTCCTTCCCCCGGTGAAGTGAGAGGAGGTGGGACGTTGCCGCCCTGCCGTTTTTACATCAGCTGACGTAAAATTCCCTATCACAGAGGGAGAGCTGCTTGTCCGGGGGTAAGCACGTCTCTGGAGAGGAGACTGGGAGGATCGGTGCCCCGGATAGAGGGAATATAAACACAGATCTCACTGGCTCTGTCTCTCCAGAGAGCCCTGATGAATACAGCCTTCCCAGGAGTCCCTGGGGGTACAAATAGTTAATGTGCTCGGCTGCCAAATGGAAGGTTGGAGATTCGAGTCCACCCAGAAGTGCTTAAGAAGAAAGGCCTGGTGATCTACTTCAAAAAAACAGATGAACCAATGAGAAGCCTATGGATCCCAACAGGTCAATCCACAGCTGATCGGGCGGACGGCACAGGGCCGGGCAGTGGGCTCGCTCTGTTAGGACAGGGCTGGCTGGGCAGCAGCCAACAACAGCAATGGTATCAGCAGAGGTCAAACTCCACTTTTTCCAAGTAATTGACACTAATTTCTCCAAACCAGCACTGTGGGCATTCGGGACTGGGTCCTTCTCTGGGGTGGGCCATCCTGTGCACTACAGGGTGCTGAGCAGGATCCCTGGCCTCCACTTACTCGATGCCAGTAGCACCCTCTCCCCAGCAGTGACAAACACAAATGCCCCCAGACATTGCCCAGTGTCCCTTGGGGGATAGAATCGCCCCAGCTAAGGACCCCTGGTTTTGACAAAATACTATTACCCAGATGGCTCCCCGCTGGTTCATCCGGAAGTTTTTTTACCTGGAAATAGTAAAACAGGTACAGCTGTTTGCAGCCCGTCACCCAGAGCAGGGCAAGACCAGCTGTCTGCTATGAGACACAGCTGCGCTGCTCGGCCCCTCTGCTCACCAGGTCCCAGCGCACAGTCCCTCTGCCGCCAACACCTTGCTACAATATGGGGGAGCATGCCTCAGGCCTGCGGCGGGCCGGGGAGATCCACAAACACTGCCCGGCAGGCCAAGGAATGGCCTGGCAGCGCGGGTACACTCGGGGGGGGGGGGGGGTGGGACACAGCCGAGTGGCCGCGGGCCATGTGGAGGCCTAGACGGCCGAAGCGAGCAGGCTGCACTTTGCCCTGACTAGGAAGTGAGTGCCTTGAGCACTGTGCTCTTTTAAGAACTATCTTTACGGGCTCAAAAGGACAACAGCGACGCGAAAGGTTAGATACGCTTAGGGGGCAGTGAGTTGAGGTTAACGGGGGAGGAACAAGTCAGAAAAGGAGGGTGAGAAGGCCTGCACAGCTCGAAGAACGTGATCAGTGTCACTGAACGGTTCACGGAGAAACTGCTGAACTCGTGTATGTTTTCCTGTGTACACTGTCAACAACAACAACAAATTATTTAAAAAGAAATAGCAAGTAAGAGCTGAGTGCACGTTCCAAACGCAGGGGCGCGGGGCCTGGCTCCTGGCAGGGCTGCAGGCTGCGGTGAGCAGAGGCAGCGACTGCCTGGTTAATCATTGCCAGCCGTCCGCGCTGGCCTCTCGGAGCCTTGCTCTCGTTCCGTCCGGAGTGCCACCAATGACATCAAAGTTCAAAAGCAGCAGCCCTCTACCAACACGCCCGGCTCCAGGCCCAACGAGAAACCAGCGTCTCATCACCTGGGCCCAAGATGCACCATTTCAGCTACAAGTTCAAATTTCTTCCCAAATTCCTTACACCCTCAACACCTGGCCCTGCGACAGTGCCCGCGTATCTTCATGCCAAGGCCTGGGGGACCCCAGCCTCACCAGGGATTCACCGCAGACTGCATGGCACAAACGGTTAGGCACTGGGCTGATAACCAAAAGGCTGGCAGTACGAACCCGCCCAGAGGTGCCTCAGAAGAAAGGCCTGGCTACCTACCTGTGAAAGACTGAAAACCCTACAGAGTGCACTTACATTCTGACACATATGGGGTCGCCATGAGTCGGAGTCGACTAGACAGGAACTGCTTTGGTTTAGTTTTTGTTTTTGCAAGAGGCCGGGTGTGGTATCATGGAACAAGAGGCTTCTAGATACAAACTCCAGGGAAACAGTCACACACTTGCCTCAAGGGGCTCAGTACAAGAACGCTCTTTGTAACATTATTGGGAATAGGAGAAATTTGGGAGCAGCTTAAAACAAAATAATAAATACCAGTCAGTTCTCATCATTCGCCGTAGCTGGATTTCAACAGTTTACAATCTTGCGAAAGGCGCAGTGGTGGCGCAGTGGTTAAGCACTCAGCGGCTAACAGATAGGTCAGCGGTTTGAACCCACCAGTAGCTCCGCAGGAGAAAGACATGGCAGTCTGCTTCCATAAAGATTACCGCCTCAGAAGCCCTACAAGGCAGTTCTACTCTGTCCCATAGGGTCACTGAGTCGGAATTGACTTGATGGTAACGGGTTTGGTTTTGGGCCGTGTAGTCCCGCAAACACGGACCAGCCGCTCTGCGCGGGTGCATGTCTGCGAATGCCCCGCGAGTGGATAGGCAGGCTCGTGGAGAGGGACTCACGAATGCCGAGGATCGACTGCGCTTTATAGTCACGCCACCCGGGAAGTGAATGCGCAGCCCAGGTGGGGAGCCCTGCAGGTACTGGGCATTTTGCACGACCAATGCATGTGGTCCCCACGGCTCCTCTGTGGGTGGCTGCCACAACAACCCCAGGACAGAGAGGTAGAGATGAGGCTCGGGAAGGTGATGCTGCCAGCCCAGTGTGGCAAAGGGGGTGCTGAGCCCATCTAGCCCCACGCGGCTCCGGGCTCTGACCTGCCTGGCCTGCGGAGCCTCCCTCCCAGGCGAGAGGCAGGGCCTGCGGGTGGGCTCAAAAAGGAGGCGGCAAATAAGAGGCAGTAAGACTCCATTCGCCCTCGGGGAGACGACAGGGCTGGAGTGAGGACTAAGCAGCCAGATTACACGCGGGAGTCCCACAGGGCCCGGGACTCTGCAGGCAGAACAA